AGGAAGAGGCTAGCCCTCGAAACGCGTCAGCCTGTTGGATGTCCAGAGTTCCCATTACAGATACGCAGTGTGAATTGGACAGAGCTGTTCCTTCATGATGTGCCGTTGACTGTGTTGTCATTTTGTGAGTACAATACCTACTTTTATCATTTAACCCCCCTGGCAGTGTTGCTCGGGGTAAAGTTTCAGCACCACAAGCGGTAACCCCGAGCTACACTCGGGAATACACTGCAGCGTTGCTCCGGGATCTCTTCTTCACTTACCTTGTCCTGTTCTCCCGCGATGCGATCCCCCCTGCAGCGTCCCCAGCAATGTCCTCCGGCCAATGCCGGTATCTGTCTTCCGGGTTCCGTTCCCTGTGACGTCGGGACGTACGGGGGACGGAATTGGCGGGAAATTTGAAAATGACAAAAAGTGACATTCACTAAAATCACTAAAATCACATAGTATAACATTCCTGTATCAAACCATTTCACATACATGTTGTCCCGAGTGCTTTGTCCTGCGCCCTGCCTGCATTTTTACTGTTCTTTCTGCCTGGAAACTGAGAAACGTCCATGGCGTCCAAAAAAGCGTCCCTTTAGGTCAAAATCGGTTTTAGACCGGCTAGAGAACAGCGATAGTAAATCAGAACCACTTGCAGAATTGAGTGATAATGATTCGTGGGGGAAATTCCTCATCAGACACTGAAAACGATTCTGCGACTTTGCTCAGTGATGTGCAAACTTGGCGCTATATTTCACATTTCAGTGTTTTTGGTTTGATTATATTATTGAATTAAATTTATTATTATATTATTATTTTTTATGATTATTTATTAAATTATAATTTATGATTTCGTGTTTCAAATTTTATCATACCCGGGATGTTTACTAGACTCTTGTTCGGACAGATTTCAGTGAGTTATTCCTAAGAATTACAGCCTACAATAAAACAAATGCATATTTCCATGCAAAAAAGTACCACTTTCAGCACAGAAATAATCAGACCGCTAGGGAAGTTAATAAACATATTTTGAAGGTAGTGCACCAGGCAGGTGCACATTTTCAGATGATGGATTGAACAGTGCTCTGGGAGATTTTTTTTTTTTTTTATAAATCTATCCCCGCTTTAAACTTCTCCACAACTTTATCCCTGACCTGTCTGGTGTGTTCCTTGGCCTTCATGATGCTGTTTGTTCACTAATGTTCTCTAACAAACCTCTGAGGGCTTCACAGAACAGCTGGATTTATACTGAAATTACATTTATTTTATTTTTTTTTTAATTTCAGGTACTTATATAGCGCCGTCGGTTTACGCAGCACTTTACATACATATTGTACATTCACATCAGTCCCTAACCCTCAAGGGGCGTACAATCTAAGGTCCCTAACCCTAAGGTCAAGGGGTGTACAATCTAAGGTCCCTAACCCTCAAGGGGCGTACAATCTAAGGTCCCTAACTCACATTCATTCATACACATACTAGGGACAATTTAGACAGGAGCCAATTAACCTACCAGCATGTCTTTGGAGTGTGGGAGGAAACTGGAGAACCCGGAGGAAACCCACGCAGGCACAGGGAGAACATGCAAACTCCAGGCAGGTGGTGCTGTGGTTGGGATTTGAACCAACCACCCTAGTACTGCCAGGCGGAAGTGCTAACCATTTAGGCACTGTGGCTGAGTTGCACACAGGGGGACTCTATTTACTAATTAGGTGACTTCTGAAGGCAATAGGTTCCACTAGATTTTAGTTAGGAGTATCAGAGTAAAGGGGGCTGAATACAAATGTCGCCAAACTTCAGATATTTATTTGTAAAAATGTTGAAAACTATCATTCTCCTTCCACTTCTACTATACTATACGTTTTGGTGGGCGTGAACATGCATGTCCTTCATAGATGTTTGGGGGCCATTAACAATTAACCACTTACCTACCGGGCACTTACACCCCCTTCCTGCCCAGGCCAATTTCCAGCTCTCAGCGCTGTCGCACTTTGAATGACAATTGCACGGTCATGCAACACTGTACCCATATGACATTTTTATCTTTTTTTGTGACAGAGCTTTATTTTGGTGGTATTTATTCACCTCTGGGTTTCCTATTTTTCTTAAACAAACCAAAAACCACTGAACATTTTGAAAAAAAAAATGTTTTTCTTAGTTTTTGTTATAAAATTTTGTAAATAAGTGCTTTTTCTCCTTCACTGATGTGCGCTAATGAGGCTGCAGTGATGGGCACTGATAGGCTGCACTGATGGGTACTGATGAGGAGGAGGCACTGGTAGGTGGAACTGATGGACATTGACAGGCATCACTGATGGGCACTGAAAGGCAGCACTGCTTTGGTGGTATTTATTCACCACTGGGATTTTTTATTTTTTTTTGCTATGTAAATGAAAATGTCCAAACATTTTGAAAAAAAGTGTTTTGCAAATAAATAAAATTTCATCATAAATCTTGGCCAAAATTTATTCTGTTATCCTTTTTAGTAAAAAAAAAAAAATATCCCAAATTAGTTTATAACCAAAAATTATAATTTTTAAAATTTTTTTTAACTTTTATATTATTATTTATGTTTATTTTTATTTTACATACTGTCACCCTAGCAGTACAGTGGCACCATGGTGACGCTGTACTACTTGTGGGGGGTGATGAAGATTTTTTTTTTTTTTTTACACTGATTGCTTTTACACCCATAAAGGCTGTAAAAGCAATCATTTCTCCTTCTCTCTGGCTGCATTCTTGCAGCAATTGAGAAATACTGTGTGAACTGTGATTGGTCACAGCTTGTCACATGGTACAAGGATGTTGTGAATAGCCCTGTACCATGTGACCTCTGTGATCATTCACAGATTTTACACGTAGTAAGCAATGATGTCAGAAGTGACATCTTGCTTACTACTCTGCATGTGATCACTGGTTGGCCAATCAGTGATCACATGATCGGGACCTCGCACAGAGGTCCCATACGACGATCGGTGTTCAGACACAGCGGGCACCGGATCCCTGGGACCGCGCACAAGCAGGGGGCAGGAAGGCCGTTTATAAATGGCCGCTCGACCCTGCACTGCCACTGTCCGGCCGTTTATATACATGAGCCGGAGAGGAAGTGGTTAAGACACTGACATTCACATTCATTAGATGCAATTTCAATTTGCACCTGAAACTGCGGGCGCTAAAACTGTGGCTCAACCGTTTAGTTTTACCGATCGCCGGACGCACTTGTGAACAAAACCTTAAGGATCTATTTATAAAATGTTCATTGTAGAAACGTGTGTTGTCTGCTCCGTCTCACCTGCATGGCCTGAGAACCATTTGTGGAAGCTGAACAAAAAGGGCACCGTAATTTTTATAAGAGATTAATGCCTGAATCATTGCCTCCATCTTGTGGCCAGAATGCAGTGTAGATTTCTAAAATACCTAAAAGAAAAATGTACTAAATCCATTCATTGTGTGTATTCCTCCTGGAATCTTGGTATGCCTTGTGTTTCTTCCAGATCTGTGCAGGAATCCAGGGTGAGACTTTGACTTCCTGTAATAAAGACTGCTCACTGCTGCTTTCTCTCCTTGTGTATGGTGACTGGTCTTGTCTCCGCCCCCTCCTGTAGTTTTCTATAGTGGGTGGCCCCTATTGGGCCCCTCCAATAACTGCTCTCTCTCCTTGTGACTGGTCTTGTCTCCGCCCCCTCCTGTAGTGTTCTATAGTGGGTGGCCCCTGTTGGGCCCCTCCCACAGCTCTGCTCTCTGCACAGTCTATGTCCAGCACAGCGGTGATGTCACTTCTATTTTAACAAAGTAATATCTGGGTTTGCAAAGGCATTTGGTGCACACAAAGTGGATTTTTATACCCTTCGCGGCTTATGAGAAATATATTTCACTGAAAGTTTTTGGGTCCGGAGTTCAGCTTTAACAGATGGATATTTATTTCTAGTAGCAGCTTTCAGATGGCTTGTCTCCCCAGTGCGGGGCCGGGCCCTGTATGACTCTAGTACAGCCGTGTCGCCAGCCTGTCCTGCCCCGTCCTGTCTAACAATGAGCACATTCAGGTCTCACCCATGTTTTCAGTTATTAAGAAAACACTCGCCTGTGCCTGCTGCTGACTTTAATCTTTGGCAGGCTGGATTTCACATTCGATGCCCCTGACCCCCCCCCCCCACTTACGCTCTTGTGTTGTCTGGCGAGTGTTGGAGAATACTGCGGGGACGCTCGGGGACACCAGTAGCTGCCAACTTCATAAAGCACTGTGAGCCTCGGCCCTCATAATGTTGGTGTAGCTGCAGGAAATCGGGGACCTCCTCTGCGGTTTTATTGTTTGGAGGTCCCCCATGGCTCTAACAGTCGTACACATGTGGGAACATTTATCTGCACCTGTAGGGGACCTTTCCTTGTTTGCAAATCTGGGCAAGTGCAGCCTAATCCGAAGCGGTTTAAAGGCTTCGGTCACACCAAATCCGACTTTAAAATCGCACGACTTCACTTGATGTCGGGTGTCAGTTTGATTTGGAAGACATCTGTGCGACTTCATGCAGATATCTAAGCAAGTCGCACCTAAACTGTAATGTGTAAAGTACTTTTAAAATCGTTGCGACTCGGTATGACCGCTTTCATTGCGGACTATGGCATGCGACTTGAAACAATCAAATCGCGTGACAAATCGCACCCGTGTGACCTGGGACTTTACCTGCTTAACCCGCTGTGATCTGGCATTTTAGAGTCTAGAGTACCCAGATTTCTCAGAAAAGAGTACCTGTCACTGCCTATTGCTGTTACAGGGGATATTTACATTCCCTGTGCTAACAATAAAAGTGATCAAAAATAAAAATGAAAGGGACAGTTTAAAAATAAAAAAAAGCAAAATAAATAATAATAATAATAATAAAAAAAAAAAAAAAAATGTACCCCCCTACCCCTATTCCTGTGCAAGGCAAATGCAAGCGTCGGTATGTAAACAGATTGCACCATGCATGTTGAGGTATCACCGTGAGCGTCAGGTCGAGGTCAGTAATTCTAGCACTAAACCTCCTGTGCAGGGGCGGACTGACCATTTGGAAACTCGGGCACTGCCCGAGGGCCCGGGGTCAGTAGGGGGCCCCATGAGATGCCCCTGGTACCTTTTTCATAGGCTTTTTTGAGTTTTGGCAAGGATACAGGGGCCCCATGATCCTCTATTGCCCGGGGGCCACATGAGTTGTCAGTCCGCCCCTGCTCCTGTGTAACTCTAAAGTGGTCACCTGTAAAGGCTTTTAAAACGGTGCCTATGGTTGTTGTTTTTCGCCGTTGCATGGACATGCGCAATTTTGAAGTATGTCATGATATCCATTTACTCGGTGTAACATCATCTTTTATATTGTATGAAACAATTGGGCAATGTATAGTGTTTTTGTGAATTAAAATTCTAAAAAGTTAAATTTTTCCAGAAAAATCGCTGCACAAATACTGTGTGGCTTAAAAAATTTCCACACCCACCCTTTTATTCTCTATGGCCTCTGCTTTAAAAAAAAATATAATGTTTGGGGGTTCAAAGTAATTTTCTAGCAAAAAAAAAAAAAAGTTTTATTTCATGTAAACAAGAAGTGGCAGAAAAGGCTTAGCCTACAAGTGGCTAGAAGAGTGGGTGATGTGTGGCAGAAGCTTCTAATGTTGGCCCTGGATAGTAGAAGCGCCCCCCTAAATGATGCCTTTTTTGCAAAGAAGACACTCCAAGGTATTTTGTAAGAGGCATGGTGAGTATTTTGCAGATCTCATTTGTTGCCACAAGGTTTTGGAACATGAAGAAAGAAAACGAACATTTTTTTTTACATTTTCTTTCAAAACCCTTTGACAAAAATGATATCTGAAAATACTCACCTTGCCTCTTATCAAATTCCTTGGGTTATCTACTTTGCAAAAAGGGATCATTAGGGAGGGGCGTGTGTTTGTACTATCCTGGCATTTTAGAACCTCCGAAACTGTGAAAGGTAGTAAGGAAGTGATATGAGGAAATGTGCCCTTTGAAAGCCTGGAGGTGGTCATTTGATTTTGTGGGCTTGTGTGCAGCTAGGCTGCCAAAAAGTCTCCCACATGTGGTATCCCCATACTCGGGAGAAGTAGCAGAATGTGTTTTGGGGGTGTTATTCCACGTAAACCCATGGCATGCGTGAGCAATATATCATTCAAGTGAAAACTGTGTGTAAAAAAAAAAAAATTAGTAATTTTTCAAAATTTTGTGGCAAAGAATAAAATCTTCCATGGACTCAACATGCCTCTCAGCAAATACCTCGGGGTGTCTACATTCCAAAAGGGGTCATTTGAGGGGTTTACTGCACTGACATTTTAGCACCTCAAGAAATGTAAATTCCTCTTTCAAAATATCTATCTATCTATCTATCTATCTATCTATCTATCTATCTAAATGGTTTGTAGATGCTATAACTTTCACACTAACCAATTAATATACATGTATTTGGATTTTTTTTTTTTTTTTTTTACCAAAGACATATAGCAGAATACATTTTAGCCTAAATTTATGACTAACTGATTTTGACTTTTTGGTCTTTTTTCTTACAAAAAATAAAAAAACTAGTGGTGATCAAATATCACAAAAAGAAAAGCTCTATTTGTGTGCAAAAAGGACATACATTTCAGTTGGGCACAGCGTTGCATGACCGTGCAATTACCAGTTGAAATAGTGCAGAGCCAAATAGCAAAAAATGGTCTGGTCATTAAGGGGGGTAAATCTTCTGGATTACAGTAAAAGTTAATTTTTTATTTATGTAATTTTTTTTTTAACCTTTCAATGAACTTTTCAATTCCATCCGGTGGAGTTCTGCTTTAAATGACTTTTGACCTGACATTAACATATACTTTTAGACCCTCCAGTCCAACAACCAAAAAAACTCATAAAGCATCAAATTGGCTATTTACATTCTTAGAATCCTACGTAAACTACAGTAATGTGGCATTGCAGTAAATAAACGTTCATTTGGCCGGGGTTAGAGCAGCTTTGGCTTTGTAATTTCTTCCAAAAGCGTAAAATCAAACCACAACTAGAGGGCCAAAAGGTTATCCACAGACTGTTTATTCCCAGACATACGCGGTGTTTTTGCACTTGTCTTTGCATAGGAAATTACCTCTCAAAAAAACCCCCCAAAAAACATTAAACTTGCACCTGTTGCCCATGGTTCATTTTTCAGCAGGAGAGAGCACCTACCTCCTTTAGTTTAGGATCACAGCTATGCGTTTTACAGAAACGCACAGCAAGTCCATATAACATGATTCCCTATGGGACAGGTTCACATCTCCGCATTTTCACCCGGTGCGTTTTTTAGAAAGGGTCGGGGACTTTTTTAAACGCAAAACGTTGTTGTTTTGGTTCTATAGACTTCAATGGAGACGCTGCAGAAAAGCATGTAGTGCGGTTTTTTTTTTTTTTTACGTGTTTTGGATGCGATTTAATCTGCCCAGCAACAAGTTAAAAAAAAAAAAAAAAAAAAAAAAAGCGCATTGGGCAAAAACGCGCTGCAGAAACGGTTCAAATGCAAACTGCATAGGTGTGAACCTAGGCTTATAGGGTCTTTTCTTGTTTGGAGAGCAAGGCGTGGCGCCGGGGGCGGGAGAAAACTCAGCTGTTACAGGAGGAATTTAAATTTACATGGACTGCAGGGGCTTATATCTGTGGATCTACAAATATATATTTTTTAAATGATCTGTTTAGTTTAAATTTTATATAAAAGTGACGTTCCTCTTTTAAAAATTGACACCCCCCCCCCCCCCCCCCAACAATATTGGAGTTTTTTTTTTTTTTTTGGGGGGGAGCTGGTACCTAGTCTTGGCAGGTACACACTCCAACTTCCATTGGAAGTCTTCCCGCTCTCCTGCGACCTCGTGGGACATGTCACAGGTTCTACGAGGCTGCGGGACCATTCACAAAGCACAGCACAACTCGCACATGTGCAGTGGGGAGTCCCATCCCACCCGGCTTCCCACACTAGACATGCCAGTGCTAGGGACCTGAAGACCAGTGAATAATTGGCTAAGATGAGAATGGCACTGGATTCCTGGGCAGGTAAGTTTCATTTGACATGTCACCAATCCCTCCACTGGCCTCCTCCTCAGTGTCCTCCATCCCTCTCTGCCAATCCCTCCACTGGCCTCCACTCAGTGTCCTCCATCCCTCTCTGCCAATCCCTCCACTGGCCTCCACTCAGTGTCCTCCACCCCTCTCTGCCAATCCCTCCACTGGCCTCCACTCAGTGTCCTCCATCCCTCTCTGCCAATCCCTCCACTGGCCTCCACTCAGTGTCCTCCACCCCTCTCTGCCAATCCCTCCACTGGCCTCCACTCAGTGTCCTCCATCCCTCTCTGCCAATCCCTCCAATGGCCTCCATCTGTGTCCTCCATCCCTCTCTGCCTCCACTCAGTGTCCTCCATCCCTCTCTGCCAATCCCTCCAATGGCCTCCACTCAGTGTCCTCCATCCCTCTCTGCCAATCCCTCCACTGGCTTCCAATTGCCCAACGGCTAAAAATTCAAAACATTAACAATAACGTATAAAGCCATTTAAAACTCCACCCCAAATTACATCACCGACCTTGTCTCCAAATATCACCCAAACCGTACTCTCCGCTCCTCGCATGACCTCCTACTCTCTAGCTCCCTTGTCTCCTCCTCCCATGCTCATCTCCAAGATTTCTCCAGGGCTTCTCCCATCCTCTGTAACTCCCTACCCCAATCTATCAGACTATCGCCTACTCTGCTCACTTTTAGGCGATCCCTGAAAACCTCTCTCTTCAGGGAAGCCTATCCTGCCCTCAGCTAATACTGGAACCTCCTCCTCCTACCAGTCCATCCCCCACAGTTATTACCTTTTGTACCACTAGCCCCTCCCTCCTAGATTGTAAGCTCCAAGGATCAGGGCCCTCCTATCCCTCTTGTATTGAACTGTATTGTTACTGTACTGTCTCCCACCATAATGTAAAGCGCTATATAAATCCTGTATAATAATAATAATGTCACAATATATGGCAACAGTGTCATCTGTTAAACAAGATGTGCCCATTATCATTAAAAAAGGCATCTTTTTCACATTGAGACTAATTATGATGTCACGACCCCTGTTCAACTGTTGTGTCTGTTCATTTATAAAAAACATCTTTTTCATTAAATAATATTGAAATATAAAAAAAAGCGCCTTTTAAGCTCAAGTCCAGTGGCTCATGCCTAGGCTGAGATGATATCATCAGTCTGCTGCAGACAGGAGGAAGCATTTCCTCAGTCTACTCTACCCCAGTGATCAGACTGTAACTTTGTATGAAATCACAAGGTGAGAGGCTGCTGCAGCAGAGGCTGATCTGAGTCAGACATTTGTAAACAAAGCCAAGAACTGCACAGGCACCAGGATTTTTACAACTCTTTCACCACTGAGCTGGCATCTCATCCAAGAAGTAGAGGCGCATTTGGACACGAGTCCGAACCCGCCTGAGTTATCCTGGCAGGAAGCTGGTAAAGCCAACAGTCCATTACAGGTGGTGGAGGCATTCCCCGCCATGCAGCTGCATGTAAACGTGCTCCTTGCTTATGTGTGGCTGTGGCTATCTGCTTTGACAGTTTCCCAGTGGGAAGTGTCCAAACCTGCCCGGGCTCATCCTGAATAGTGACTTTGGATGATGCCTGAACAAAAATGGCTCCTCCTAGAGGGAAGAGCCAGGCAGCACAGTGGCTAAGTGGTTAGCACTTCCGCCTGGCAGTACTGGGGTCGCCGGTTCGAATCCCAACCACGACACCACCTTCCTGGAGTTTGCATGTTCTCCCTGTGCCTGCGTGGGTTTCCTCCAGGTACTCAGATTTCCTCCCACGCTCCAAAGACATGCTGGTAGGTTAATTGACTCCTGTCTAAATTGTCCCTAGTATGTGTATGTATGAATGTGAGTTAGGGATCTTAGATTGTACGCCCCTTGAGGGTTAGGGACTGATGTGACTGTACAATATATACAGTGGGGATCGAAAGTTTGGGCACCCCAGCTAAAAATTTGTATTAATGTGCATAAAGAAGCCAAGGAAAGATGGAAAAATCTCCAAAAGGCATCAAATTACAGATTAGACATTCTTATAATATGTCAACAAAAGTTAGATTTTATTTCCATCATTTACACTTTCAAAATAACAGAAAAAAAAAAAATGGCGTCTGCAAAAGTTTGGGCACCCTGCAGAATTTATAGCGTGCACTGCCCCCTTT